TTTGTCTAGTTGATCTGTCTTTTTGTGACAGCAGGGTATTGAGGTCTCCCAATACAACTGTATTAGGAGTTATTTGATTTCTCATGTCTATTAGTACTTGTTTTATATAGTTGGGTGCACTGGTATTTGTTGTATATATATTTATGATTGTTATCTCTTTTGAATTGTTCCCTTCATGAGAATGTACTGACCTTCCTTATCTCTCTTACTCAGTGCTGGCTTGAAATTCACTTTGTCTGCAAGTAGGATAAATACTCCTGCTTTTTTCTGGATTCCTGCTGCATGGAATATTGTTTTTCATCCTTTGACTTTCAGTCATGAATTTCTTTTTGAATTAAATGTGTTTCTTTTTGTTTGCTTTTTTGGTACTGGGATTGAACTCATGATCTCGTGCTTGCCAGGCAGGTGCTTATGGTACTGAGCTAAATCGCCAGCCCTAAATGTGTTTCCTGTTTGCAGCCCATTGTTGGATTATGCATCTTGATCCATTCTGCCAGTCTATGCCTTCTGATGGTGAATTGAGACCAACAACATTGATGATTTTAACTAAAATATACTGACTTATCCTTGTCATGTTATTTTCCTGCTGTTGGCTCTTCTCTTCCCCCACCCTTTCTCTAATTGTGTTCGATCCTCAGTGGATTTCTTCTGTTGGGGTTCATGGAGCTGTAGTCCTTATTATCCCTTTCTAGAATGTCCTTCTGAATATTTTGAAGTGCTGGTTTGGTGGTCATAAGTTCCCTCAGATGTCCTTTATCATGAAGTATCTTATTTCTCTATCAGTTTTGAGTGATGGTTTTGTGGGGTACATCAATCTGGGTTGAAACTTGTTTTCCTTTAGAACCTGGAGTACTTCACTCCAAGCTATCCTTGACTTGAGAGTTTGTGCTGAGAAGTCAGCTGTGATTCTGATGGGCCTTCCTTTAAAAGTGACTTTTCTCTAACAGCTTTTAGGATCCTATTCTTGGGTTGAATTTCTGGAATCTTGACTATGATAAGCCTGAATGTAGATTTTTTTCTTGATCATTGCTAACTGGAGTTTATCTGCATGTCAAATTCTTTTTCTCTACCAGGAAAGTTTTCTGTGATGATGTCTGTGAACACTTTTTAAATGTCATTTGTGGTATCTCCTGCTTGTTCATGGGCTCCAATTAATCTTAAGTCATTCTTCTTTGTCTCACCTAGCAGCTGCTGGATTGATTTCTCATGGTCCCTTGCTTGTTCTGAGAAACCTTTGTTTTCCTGGTCACTACCTGCAAGCCTGTCTTCAATATCTGAGATCCTGTCCTCACATTGGCCTAATGTGCTTTGAATACTTTCAATAGAATTTTTATTCTCCTGGATATCTGTTTGAATCTGCTTTATGGATTACATTTCTTTCCTATCCTGTGCTTTCATAGTTCACTTAAACTTGTCTCTTTTTTGTCTGTGTCTGCGCTGTCACAAAGCATATTGTGTATTTTGTTAATCTCTGTAGTTATGTGAGAGATTATTTCTGATTTCATTTTTTCCAGAGCCTCATTCAATTGCTTTATCATTCCCATTTCAGAGAGATTTGATGTGAGTCTCTCAGATTGCCCCACCTCATTGCCTTCTGGATTTGCCTTGGTGAACTGGATATCTGAGGCTGCATTTTGCTTAAATGCATTTCATTTCATCTGTTTTGTTTGTTTGTTTCATTCCTGGGTGATGCTTGTAAGTTGCCTATGGTGGGTTGCTTTATTGGCAGTATTTAGGACCCTTAGGTGATAATTACTTCTCTCAGGTATTTTCAAGGTGTAGATGGTTTTTGGGTTTTGAGTATGTTGGAACAACTTTCCTCTTCAGTTTGTTGGAGATGAGAAGTTGTTCTTTGGCACTGTGCCATCATATTTTCTGTGATCCTTAGTTAATCTCAATCATGGATTATCAGCACCAAGAGCTATTTAGAATACTTCTGTCAACTTTGGCTATAGTGGTACCAATATCATGAAACACGGCTTATAAAACAACAAACTAAGCTAACTCTTAATTTGCAACTTTAAACTGTATGAACTACAATTACTATTATATAACAAAATGTAAAACAAACTAGATAATTCTATGCAGATATAGGTCCACAAAGTGTCAATTTTGCCCTTGGGGTTAAATTTTAAAATGGATTAAGGAGAAAATAGAGAAGCAGAAGCAGAGAAAGAGATTAGAAGTAAGGTTGGAGGACAAAGTGGGATTATGCCAACTTGGGGAACCTGGTGCAGAAGACTGAAGAAAAAGAGAGATGGAAGAGAGAAAAGAAAGCACAGAACAGAACCACACCTCGAAAGAGGTGAGGAACCATTTTCACACTCATGCATGAACAATGAAGAAGAAAGAGAAAAGAAAAACAAAATAAAACATGTAAAAGACAAACAAATAGTCCACTTCCAGGATTGTCTCTGGTTTCACTAGTAGAAAACTTGTGGAAACAGAGTCCCAAATCATGCTGACCATAAAGCCAGCAGTTGCTTTATGGTGGAGCACGCCTTTCCTGAGAAAGCCTTCCCTGAGACCAGACTCCTGGGGCTTGCCACAGTTCAAGCAATTTCCATGGGTCTGTGTCCCACTAGGAGCTTCCAGGGGAAGCCAGCAGTAGTTCTGGGTTCTGGGTTTATCCAGCTCACACCCTAATTTTTAGGAATACTGAAAGTCCATAAATTGGCTTAATTTAGAAAGCAAAAATCAGGAACCTGATCCTAAGATAAAGGAACAGGTTGGAAGAATCCAAAGAATGTTTAAATTGTCTTCAAAACCCACTGCTCATACTTGTAGAATGGGCCAGCACCCTTCTGAAGGGCAAGACACTTTTATCCAGCATTTCTACTACTTTAAAAAAAAAGATGAAATATTCTTTGTTTCAGGAAATAACACACATCGATTTCCTGAGCACCTGCACTTCACTCTGGAGTGCGTCCTAAATTTCTGCCTAATAAACCATACCCACACCCCTCACTGATGTGTCCTGAAAACTTCTTTTCTGAGACAGGATTTGGCAAGCTTGCAAATTTGTTCTACAAAAGGGTAGGTTAAGCTTGTTATTTTATTTTTATTTACTTATTTTTTTTTTGCGGTACTCGGGATCAAACTCAGGAGCTTGTGCTTGCCAGGCAGGTGCTTATGCCACTGAGCTAAATCCCCAGCCCAAGCTTGTTATTTTATACTTGGAGACCTCTCAGACCCAGCCTGAGAACACTGCCCATTATTTATTTATTTTATCGACAGGGTCTAGCTATATAGCCCACTCCGCATCAAGTCTCAGAATTGCAAGCATGCACCACCATGGCTGGCTGCCATTCTTCAAATTTTAGTTCAAAGCTACCTCCTTTATGAACCCTTCCCTGACTCATCTATTTAGTTTCTTGGTGGAAAAAAGACCAATTTATTTTCCTGAAACTCCAGCACTTATAATGGTGCCTGACAATAAGAGCAACTTAAGATTCTTGATTGAAGTGGCTTGAGGGTATTTCCCATGAGGGGTGGTTGTTGAGAAAATCACAATTCTGCCCCTCTCTTTGGTTTCCTAAGATACACTGAAATTTTAGCAGATAATTTATATACAAACCCAAAGGCTTGTGGTTGATAAAATATGAGTGCTCCACCATTGAGCCACATCCACTTTCCTTATCGCTGCAGGTAGAATTGATCATTCCCACTTTCTGCTCCTACTGTAGGTCATATGTAACCTCAACATCAATTACATTTACGTTTGTACACCAAAATATAAGACATCAGGCATCCCATTGTAGGGAAGGGAAAAATGACTTCCCTCCCCACTTCTATGTTGTTCAGGTGATCTGTGAATCAAATGTTATGTGATCAGGTTGACAGAACAACCACTCAGGATGATTTCGAACTCTTGAGAATCAAGAGATTCTCCTGTCTCAGCCTCCTGAGTATCTGCACCACTGTGTCCAATGCCAATAGAAGAACAATTTTATATACATATATAGAAGCTCTAGGGAATTCTCCAAAATGAGACTTAAAAAAGGGTCAGAAGTGTCCTGACCCATAGAAAGGACTTGGGAGTTTTGCGGGATAGTGGACACAAAAGGCAGAGTGAGAGGATAAATGTTGCCTTGTTAGTCTCTCTGGTGATAAAAAATAAAAGAAATAACTGTCTTTCTGACATAGATGCCATTACTAATGAAATTTCTGTTATAGATTTCTCTTTTCTAAAGGGTTATTTTATACTTTAAAGCAATGGGAGGAGCTCAAGAGTTTTTTTGGGGTGTGTTGGCTGGTTCTAAATTTCTGTTAGCTCGAAGTCATCAATGTGTCAGGGAGGGCATACTTTAGCGTGGTGCATTCTGGTTTTCTACAGTCTTATTTTGGGATGGTTGTATCCTGAGTCCCAGCACTGCAAGGAACCAATGTTTATTCCAAATAAAGAGGTTCTGTAACATTCTAGGAGAATGTTACCATTATGAATACTGCAAAAAACCTTCACAATCTAACCAGTGTTTTTTTTTTAAACCTGCATTTTCAGGCACTTTAATTTTCCTTAGACAGATGGTTAAAACTTGGCTATGGAAACCGCATATACTAGGAGAAAATTGCCTAGAGCGCCAAAAAAAGGATGATTGGTTGCTGGAGCTCTGAAGTTACATGTTCTACTCAGGTCAACGCAAGAACTAGGAAACCGCTGAATGTGCAGGTTTTAAAATACGGTTTTTTCCATGGTAAAGAAAAAAGATTAACCCGTCAGGAAGAACCGACCACCTTCAACTACCAGTCAAGAGCGGGAACGCAGCCAAAGCCTAGGGATACCCGCGCACCAAAGAGGATGTCACTCTTCAGGCTCCGCCAATGAGCGGCGAGCCGGGGGGCGGGGCGATGGGCGGACCTATTGCCGTAGAAAACAAACAAAATGCAGTACTACAATTTTAACCAGTCCTCACTTCTTAAATCTCAGGAGCAAATTCCTGGGTAAGGCGGTTACAAGTTGCTTTTCATTCTACTACCGTCAAGGGACATAGCAAGAGTACCTTCTCAGCAGAACAAGGGCCTTCTCATTTTAGTTTCCACAGTCTCGCAGAAAGCTCTCCTTAACTTTGCGTTATGTATCTTCACAAAACCTGGGAGCCCGTGCTGGGCAAGGCGGCGGCATTGCGCATGCGTGCAAAGTCTCCGGGGGGGCCGAGGCTGCGGGAGCCCAAGGAACACTGGGAAATGTATTTCTGTTGCCAGTGCAACGTGTACTGCTCTTTCGTCTTTGGGACTATATTTCCCAGGATCCCCCGCGACCTCGGGGTGGAAGGACTGTTTCGTTAATGAGTTCGAGGAAGCCGCGGCGCGGCCCACCAGGTTCCAAAACAAGGAAATGAAGGGAGGAGGCGGGACTGGAGGTGCCTGCGGGAGCCGCCGCCACCGCCGCCGCGGAGGAGGAGGAGGAGGTGGAAGAGGTGGAGGAGGTAGCTGCCGTGGCTGGCGAGGAGTCCCTTGCTGAAGGCGGACCGCGGAGCAGCGGGCGGCGCGCGCGCGCCCGGAGGCGGCTGTTGAAGAAGTGGAGCGGCGGTCGCGGGGGGAGGAGGAGGAGGGACTGAGTGGCGGCGGCCCCCGCGTCCCGGTGCCTCTATGGGGGAAGCAGACAATGGATTATGATTTCAAGGCGAAGCTGGCGGCGGAGCGGGAGCGGGTGGAGGATTTGTTTGAGTACGAAGGGTGCAAAGTGGGACGCGGCACCTACGGGCACGTCTACAAGGCGAGGCGGAAAGATGGGTAAGCGCTCGGGCCGGGGAGCGGGCTCGCGCGGTCCTCGCCCTGCCTCGTCCGGCGGGCTGGGTGGGTCGGAGCCCGCGGCCGGCCGGCCGGAGGGGCAGGGGGCTGTGGTCACAGCCGCGTCCCGCGGCGGACTCTGAGGAGCGCGCGGCTCGAGGCGCCCCCGCACTCCCGCTGCGTAGCCCCGTCGGGGCTGGCGCTCCGCTCCCTGGGGCGCTCCGCGTCCGCACAGCCGGCGGCGCCCCCGTCGGGACCGTGGCCGGGGGAGGAGTTGTGGGGTCGTCCCAGGGGGAGGTGCCGTGCGCTGGGAGGGTTTGGCTGCTGAGTTCCCGCTCCGGCCCTGGGGAGGTGACGGTCGTCGAGGAACCTCCAATCGGCGCTTCCCGGGGCGGCGGTTTGAAACCTCGCCCGCGAGCCCGCGGGATGCTCGGGCGCCGGGGTCCTGGTCGACCACGGGGATGTGACTCGCGGGGCGTCGCCGCTCGGCCACGGCCTCTGCACCTGGGCCCACCAGCCGGCGCCCCCGCGGCGTATTTCCCGCTGGGGACTGCCCTGGGCACCCTGGGCTGCTTCCCAGCCTGCCTCACCTGCCCCCATCTCTCAGGCTAACCTTGTGAATTCTGCATCTTTTTCAAGGAAAGGACCTTCTGGTGGTGTGTTTTGCAAGCGTTAACTTTAGAGTTTGCCTAGTGTTTTGCAAGCGTTAACTATAGAGTTCGCTGGTTTTCTGGTACCCCGCTCCTCCTCCTCTGCCCTTTGGGTATCTTGAGTCTTGTGCCCACCGCATTTTAGGCTCTACCGAATGGCTATGCGATGGGGTTTGTCGAGGACACAGATTATCAACTACGGGGCCCTGCACCTTGGTTTTCCAAGGAGTTGTGGGAACAGTAGGACTCCTTGGGAAGTCGTCGTTTTGGACTCGCTGAATTATATTTTGAAAACGTTTGTCCTTCATCCTGGAGGGCAGACAGGCAGGACAGGTGGAACCAGTTTCCTGTCTGCGAATGGTTGATTCAGACCAATCCTAGTCTCTGTCATCCTGGCAAGAATTTCCCTCCCTCAGGGTTAGGGAGCCCAAGATCTCCTGGTCCCCCTTGGAGGGAGTTTTTAAATTTTTATTTTATTTTTTTAGGATTGTAACGCAGCATTTTCGAATAAAGAATTTGTCAACCGCAGTGACATTGCTAGTTATCTTTTGATGTGAACTGCTGGTTATCTTTTCTGGACTCTTGTAATTTGATATGATTGATTTAAGAACTCTAAACCAAAGTAGGTAGGTGGTTTGCTTACCAGTTTCATAAAAGGAGCAACAAAACACAACCTTATGGAGTATTTTATCATAAAGTATACTTATAGAATCCCAGTTTAAAAGGTTTTTATTGCAAATAATTTTTTTTCTCGTGTAATAACTGTCCAAGCCAGTAGTACTCAGTTGTTTCTACTACTTTTTGTAGTCAATTATGAAATGTCTTGAATACATGTCATGGAATTTAACGTATTGTATTTGACTTGTCCTTTGTTTTTGGGGTGTTCGCTCTTGTTGTATAGCTGTGTCTGTGAAATTCTTTATCAGATATATTTCACGAAAGCTCAATTCATATTCTTCATGCGAACTTTGTAATGTAGTTTGTCTACAATTTTTGAAATGTTGGGGTTTTTTTTTGTTGGTTTGTTTTTGGTTAAAGTAGCCTTTTAGCAGTCAATTTGAGAAAAGTTAAAAATTCTGTTTTTAAATTGTAATAGGATAGTCTGAACAAAGCAAAAAACATAATTTTCTCCTATCACTAAATTATTATTTGTTTATTCTTTGAGACAGGCTCCCCTTGTGTAGTCTAGATTAGCCTTGAACCCATGCTTTGGCAGAGGCTACCTTCAAACTCAAGGTGATCCACCTGCCTCAGCCTCCTGTTGCTGGGATTATAAGCATGGCCACCACACCTGGCCTATTTATTATTTTTTCATTTTCATTTTTTGAGACAGGATCTTGCTATGGGCTCACTTTGTAGTCTAGGCTGGCACCAAACTCGAGGCAATCCTCTTGCCTCATCCTTCCCTAGTGCTGGAATTACAGATACGTGCTACCATACCCAGCTTATTTATTATTGTTCATTTTTTTCCTCTGTTAAAGTTCTTGCTTTGAATACACTTCCTTCTTGAGTGAAATTTGTTAACTAGACTCAATAAAGGTTCTTGAAGATTAGGTTGTGTATTTTCAGAGTACAGTGCTTTAAAAAAAACTTAGTATCTGAAATACCACTGTATTGCATGGTAAGAAAAAACTATTAATACAGTTTTTTCCCCACTTTGGATCAAGGGTCTGGTTGCGTTTCGTGACTTTACAATAAACAGTTTCTTGTTGGTTGACAGTGGCATTATCTTTGTTCATGGCTAGGGACTTGAAAGAACAAAAGTGTTTTTAATGGTGGTTCTAAACTGTGATCTGTACAGGCTTAGTAAAAGATTTTACACTCCGATCATTGTAAATTAGTTTACCTCTCTACAGGTTTTATTTTAATTAGCTCAGAAGAGTATGTAGCACTGTTTTAGGGAACAAAAGACAAATCGTGGATTGGTTAAAGAGAATGTCTAGTAATGTAATGTGTCTAATCAAATTGTTCTCATTTTTAGAAGAAACATTGGAAGAAATAAAAAATATCCTCTGTTTACTCAGCAGCTCAGTGCTATAGTTTATAAAACCTTTGAATACTGTTTCCCCTTGGTTGGGACTTTAGGTTACATAAATATATAGTTTGTTACATAAGTTTATAATAGGCTGTTAGTATGTTACGTAAGTTTATAATAGGCTGAAAATGTAAGGAACCATCAGTTGTTCACCTTATTCTTCGGTACTGGGAACTGAATTCAGGACCTTGTGCCTGCCAGGCAGTTGCTGTGCCACTGAACTATGTCCCTGGCCCTTTATTTTTCATTTGACATATAAAAATTGTACATTTTTGTGGAGTATCATGAAGATAAACATACCTGTCTTCTCAAACATTTACCATTTGTTATGAAAATATGAAAATATTAAAAACTCCTTTCTTAGAGCTTAACAGCAATACATACAGTTATCACTATTTATAGGTTACCCTACTGTACATTAGAACACCAGAAGTGATTTCTCTGAGGAGCTTTTTTTTACCTTTAATGAAAGTGTTATTTACCTTTTTGTTTTGGAGGAACTCTGACCTCCCCTTTTTTGTGTTTTAAAAAAAAAAGGCTAAACAGATTTATTTACCTAACAGTGCTGGGGATTGAATGAACCCAGTGTCTTATGCATGCTAAGCACACACTCTCTAACTTAGGTATGTCCCCAACCCCAAAGGTTATTTTTGAAGAGATCAAGAATATATCTGAACTTTTTTTCCAAATCCATTTTATTTCAAAGAGAAAAAGAAAACCCCAAAATTACAAAACACATCAATCAGGATACAACAATGGTATGTATACTGTGCATTGTCATCCCCAAATCATTCACCCAGAGCACAAGACTTCTGCCTTCAATTACCTGAACATTACCAACACAAACCTTGCACTTAAGTGAACTTAAAGAAATCAGTTAGGGTAGCTATTTTAACTATTTTTTTTTGTAATTTTTATTTTAAAGAGAATAAAACCAAGCCAAAAAAAAAAAAAACATAATAAAGCCAATCAAAACAAAACAGTGTAAGGCATACAGGACTTCTTATTATCTGGCTTTGAAGTCCTGTATCCCTTACACTGTTTGGTTTTGACTGGCTTTTTTATCCACTCCTAAGTCTCTTGTTGGCTTCAAAATAGCTGCCTACATCTTCAGAATAGTAAGAATCAAACAAAACAGAGTAGAACTAATAAAACAATGAATGCAATAAAGAATTTCAACACAAAATAATAGTCCAAAATGGCTATCATAATATATCTTGTTATCTTGTTGAAATAGCTGCTGATGTCATCGGTTATAACAAAATCAAACAAAACAGAATAAACCCCAGCCAAACAAAGCAATGAAAATGAAACAGGACTTGAGAACAAGATAATAGGGAATTAACAGTGGCCCCCACCTTCAGGAGATCCCCATAGATGCTACACTGAGTACTGTTACCCTCTAAATAGATGATCAGACTATTAGACCTGCAAAGTCAGTGAAACACTGAACCCTACAAGCATTAAGCTGTGTTCACCTTGATAGCCATCATCACAGCCTGGGTTTCTCCAGATCAGCAGGTTGCTTACGCGAGTGGGGTGGGGGCCTTTGCTCTTGTCTCTTGGCCTGCATATTGGAAGGGGCTGGTGTGTGAGTCTCACCCCAGTGGCACATGCATGGCGCTGACTCACAGGGAGGACATGGTTTCTTGTTGGCTTACTGTTCCCCTCCCCTGCAGTCCATGAGTGGCACTAACTCACAGGAAAAGACTGGCGTCTGGATTTCCCCCCAGCGGCCTACACATGGTGCTGACTTATAGGGAGGACTGGGCTTCTTGTTGGCCTCCTTAACTGTGTTTTAATATGTATATACGTATATGTATCCATATATGTATGTTGTTTCAGTTTCTTACATGAGACAATACGATGTTTACACGTGTGTCTCACTTGTTTCAGTAATGAGTGTGATCTCAAGTTGCAACCATTTACCTATAAAAGTTGCCAGTTTATCCTTCTTTATGGCTGAGTAGTACTCCATTGCATAAAAATACCACATCTTTTTTATCCATTCCTCAGTCGGTGGGCATTTATGTTTCCAAGAACTTGCTATTACACATTGTGCTGCTGTAAACATGGGTGCACATATATCACTGTGGTATGATATTTTTAATTCTTTTGGGAGGATGCCAGAGAGAAATAGCTGGATTGAATGGAACCTGTAATCCTAGTTTTATGAGGAATCTCCACACGGATTTCTACAGTGGTTGCACCAGTCCACATTCCCATCAACAGTGGAGAGGGGCTCCTTTATCCCCATAACCCCTCCAGCATTTGTTACTGCTTGATTTCTTGATAATAGCTATTTCTAGTGTGAAGTG